ATTAAGGCATCATAACGCAGCCACCTGAAGGGCGGAATTTGTCCTGAGGGCAAGGCAAGTTCCAAGGGGGCGGAGCTTGCCCCATGACATCACGGCGCAAGGGCGGAGCTTGCATTGTGACGTCGCAGCACAACGCACGACGCTTGCGTTGTGACGTCACATCACAGAGGAAGGAAGCTCGCGTCGTGACGTCACAACACATATTTCCTTATTTTGGTGCGGTATCTTGGGGGACGCGATGCAGAGATGCCTACCTCTAACTCCCAACACCTGACCAAGATGACAGGTCTTGAAGCCCAGCTCACCTGGAGGCTCAGGTGAGGCAAAGAGGGACCCGTCTGAGGTAAGACCAGGAAGATGAGCGGGGACTACACTCCCCCCAGGGGACTACACTCCCCCAGGATCTCCAGCCTGCGCTCCCTCTCTCCCGTCGCCAAGAGACAGACGCCGGCCGGCCCTGGGCGATCCCCATCAGCGGCTGCTCCACTGTTCCTGAGCGAGGAGGAAGACGGAGCCCCAACCGCCCCTGCCTGTCGCCCGCGGGCGCCACACGCGCACACACACACACACGCGCCTCTCACCTTCGCGAGCTCCTCTTCGTCGCCGGCGCGCGCGGCCCTGGACTGGCGAGGGGAGAACTTCGAATGGCTCCCGCAGGACGTCAGAAACGAAAGCGAGAGAACGCTCCTGCGCTGACGGGGGAACTCCGCCCGGCCGAGGGGGGCGGGGCAAGGAGCGAGCGCACGTGACCGGCGGCCTGGCGACCTCCCGCCGCCATTTTAACGCCCGTCGTCCAAAAGTCGGAGTGGGCATGCGCGCGCGCAATGTCTTTGTGTATGTGTGTGTGTGTGTGTGAGAGAGAGAGAGAGAGAGAGAGAGAGAGAGAGAGGGCGGGCCTGGCTTTCTGACTCCTCCTCTCTTCATCCTCCCTCCCCCCCGCCCCCGCCCGCTGACGATGCCGAAGGCTGCCTTTCTCCAATAGAGAAGCCAGACGATTTGCAGACGGCTGTGGCCCTCTAGTGGCTCCCTTGGGCAGTGCAGTCCTTGAATTTGGGATATGACTCCTTTGGCGGCTCCTTAAAGCAATCCGTGGCTTCCTCGAAAGCCAGCCTCGGCTGCAGGGAGCCGCCCTATCCAGTAAAGTGGAAGAAGGGAGAAAACGAAGACACCGCCCCCCCAAACCAAACAGAAGACCCCAAATAAAAAGACCCCAAAACAAACTTTCTGTTTGTTTGTTTGGAGTCTGGCTTGTTCCTGGGGATATGGGGTTCTCCTTCTTGCGATTTGATCTTGGCAAGAATTTGCAGCCCTTCCAGATTTCCCTTTGAAGTCTCTTGGGTCCTCTTCCTCCTCCATCCTCTTTGTGTTCCCTTAATGCAGGGGTCTTCAAACTTGGTCCTTTTATGACTTGTGGACTTCAACTCCCAGAATTCCTCAGCCAGCGTGCCTGGCTGAGGAATTCTGGGAGTTGAAGTCCACAAGTCATAAAAGGACCAAATTTGAAGGTCCCTGCCTTCATGCTTCCCCCAGGCTTCCAGACCTAGCCAGTTTTTGGTTAGGTCCATCCTCCTCTTTCATTGCCTGCCTAAAATCAGTCTCTGCTCACTAATCGTCATCTCAATCGTCATTGCAGTTGGTCCAGAACAGACTGGGTCTTGCGGTAACCAACAATGTGTATCTTAGTAGATATAGTAACTTAGCAGGAACAGAGAAGTGCTCTATCACTGACTTTTTTTTCCAGCTTCCACTGCAGTCTGCAATCTGAAGATGTCCTGGTGGTCTCCCATTCAAATTCTAAACAGATACTACCTGTTGCTTTGTTTTTTTCAGATCAGCCGGATGCTAGTATTCCCTGCAATACAGATAGTCCTTGACTTATGACTATAATGGGGTCTGGAATTTCTGTTGTAACTGAAGATGGTCATAAATCAAGTCATGCACGTGACCAACCTATCTTACAACCTTTTTTGCAAGGCTGATAAGTGGGTGCCACATCATAAAACGAACACTGTGATTAAGCAAGTCAATGGATTCAGAAGGCTGCGACCCACTATACAGATAATCTTCGACACACTGAATCCAAAATTTCAATTGCTAAGTGACATAGTTGTTAACTGAGTTTTGCCCCATTTTATGACCTTTCTTGATACAGTTGTTAAGTGAATTACTACAGTTAAGTTAGTAACATGATTGTTAAGTGAATCTGACTTCCCCACATCTCAAAAAGTGAGCACACTGCAACGGTTATAAATACAAGCCAGTTGCCATGCATCCCGAATTTTGATCAGATGACCATGGGGATGCTGCAATGGTCATAAGTGTGAAAACAGTCATAAGTTAGTTTTTCAATGCCACTGTAACTTGGAATGGCCATTAAATGATTGGTTATAAATCAGCTACCAGTAATGATGTTGGTTGCGAATGCAGTCATGTGACTGTGGGGGAAGGATGTACAATCATTGGAATTCTGGAATTGGATCATAAGTTTCTTTTGTGTGGCTGTTTGCTAAGCAACCAATCATTAAGTAAGGACTACCTATCTTTCCCCTATCATGATAAACTGGGATTTCTGTAGATCATGCATGCAAACAAACCCAACAAAGGATCTGGATACAATGTAAAATGTTATTCCTAATTTATCTTATTTGCAAAATAATGTATGTATGAATGAAAGCAATCATACCATGATACATAAATAAAAAGCTATATATCATAGTTGTTAGTCTTATTTAGGGATTCAAAGGGGTACTCTTTTTCAACTTGCAAATGAGAATGTAATGTGGAAAAAGTAAACCTGGAGTGTAAAATATTTGATGTGTTTAATGACAGTAGAAAGATCATTTCAAGGTTTAATCAGTTGATTTTGGAGTATGTATCCTGAAAAAAAGATACATTGAATTCAACAAAAGTATTCTCTTTGTTAATTTCTAGAATTTCTAGAATTAACAATTGACAATTCAGACAGGTATTTAAAATTCCTCCTGCTTTGCATCCGTTGAGAAATAAGATCTACTAAAGTTAATTGGACTCATTTTCAGCTAAGAATATATGTGATTGCCTTTCCCGCATGCAGGCCTATATTTAGCTCAGTTGAGCTACAATTAATAATTTTGGAAAGGCTGATATTTGTGATAGATGTTTTTGTGGCTATACAGCCCAGTGGGAAGAGTATTCTGCTTCCTAAAGATAATTCTTTGAAAGGAAAGACTAATTGTCATGTCACTTAATGTTTTTTAAAAATGCATTTCATTTATTCTTGAAAGGAATGAAGGGGTATTTAGGGAATATTTGGAATAAACCTCCAAACCCTCTTCTTTTTAGATGAAGAAATAAACTACTGAACTGGATCAAATACAGGTAATTCTTGACTTACAATCACAATGGAACACAATTTCCCTTGCTAAGCAAGGCAGTTATTAAATGACTTGCATCCAATTTTATGCCACAGTCATTAAGTGAATTTTTTTGCCACAGTCATTAAGTGAATCACTGCGATTCATATGGCTATTAAGTGAATCAGGCTTCCCAGTGAACTTTTGCTTATCTGAAGCTCGCTGGGAAGGTCACAAATGACATTCACACAAGCCTGGGACACTGCAACCATCCTAAATACAGACAAGTCGCAAAACACCCAAATTTTGATCACGTAACTGGGAGGGGATGCTGTGACAGCTGTAAGTGCAAGGACTGGTTGTAAGTCACTTTTTTCCCCGTGCTATCATAACTTTGAACCGTTGCTAAATGAGTGGCTGTAAGTCAAGGACTATCTGTCTACGTACAGTTAATAACCTTTGATAGGACAGTGAAAATAAAATAAATGTCCATGGGCCGATTTTTTTTCTTCACAGTGAATCTTCAAAACACATGTTTATGCTAGTCTAGAGTGTTATTCACTCAAAATACATTTTAAAGAAAATGTAGCTAGTAGATTGACATTAAAATACACAGAGCACATTCAAGCTTTGGGTTTCAGGCTGGAGCAATGGAATTCACTCATTTTCAATCTGGGGAGGGAAATTCTAATGGTAGATACCTCCACGCATCTGCCACAAGGTGACCGGTCATTTCCTTGTTGCATTTCCCTCCCATTTTCACTCCATAGAATCGAGAGGGGAAAATTCCCTTTTCTTCTAATGAAGAATATTGGGCAGGCTGACTTTAAAAAGAAAATTGCTTGAGAAGCAAACATAATTTCAGCATTCTCTAACTGTGTGTGAGAGGCAGAAGTGTGGAAGTAGCTGCAGTTGTACATCAGGCAACTTTAAGACTTGTGGACTTCAATTCCCAAAATTCCCCTGGCAGCCATGCTCAGCCTAGGGAATTCTGGGAGTTGAAGTCCACAAGTTTTAAAGTTGCCAAGATCGGTCACCCTTGTTCTACATCAGGGGTGTCAAACTGCCAGCCCGTGGGCCAGACACGTCATGTGGAAGCCATGCCCACCGCATTGCTGGCAATGGCAAAACCGGCCCGATACGTTGCATGACGTCATGTGACGTCGCGAGTTTGACATGTCTGTTCTACATAATCCTTCCTTGGAATAGCATATATTACTCCTAGAGCAGGGGTGTCAAACTGCCAGCCCACAGGCCGGACACGTCATCTGGAAGCCGCGCCCACCCCATTGCCGGCAATGGCAAAACCATTCTGATACGTTGCACAACGTTACATGACATCACGAGTTTGACATGTCTGCCCTAAAGCAATGATTCCCAATCTTTGCCACTTAAGAGAGATGGACTTCAATTCCCAGAATTCCTCAGCCAGTATGAGTGGGGAGGAATTCTGGGAGTTGAAGTCCACCCCTCTTAAAGTGGCCAAAGTTGGGAAACAATGTCTTACAGAAACATTAATTCAAAACAGTATACGTGGGTCCATTCAGTTCTCATGTTCACAAGAACAGAAATGCTACCTGTATATTTCAGGCAAATTATACCAGTGCATGAGGCAAAAAGAAGCTTGCTGTATCTACCGAAAAACTTTAGCTGTGGTGATAGGCCTACTACTGTCTTCTGTGGTAGACTTCTCACTGGGAGACATATAACCCAAGTTTCCTTGCAGCTTCAGAAACCTTGGGATTTTTCTTCTGAGGGAAAGGGTAATAAGATAGCTTACTAGATACTGGTTTTGAAGCTGAGATGTTGAGGCTGGAGTAAGTCCAAATGGAAGTTACCGATGTCCGAGTCGAGTTGGAACTGACCATCTCTTCAGGAGGGCGTGAATTTTCCTCTTTGATGGAGAATGCAATGGCCGGTTCAGTACCGTCTAAGGATTCTTCTTCGCAAGACCACGTGCTACGTCCAGTCCAATTTTGGAGGCTATCGTAAGGCCGTTCCTGTTGATGTGCCAGGCGGTGGATATGTATCCGCCATGGTGAACTGTCTTGTCCATTTCCGTGGCAGGGCAAACCCACTTTGAACTCTCTTCCTTTCAATGCTTTCCTCATGCTCTTATTAATTAAAACAGCACTGATCATGGATTTCCTGGGAATGGCCCCTTTCCCACCTGTGAAGATAATTCAATTTTAAAAGGATGCAAAGAAATAATCTTACTTTCTGGTAATGCGTTATACAAAAGTATTTCTCAACCTCAGTGAGTTTATGATGTGTGGACTTCAACTCCCAGAATTCCCCAGCCAGAAGTCCACACATCTTAAACTCATTGAGGTTGAGAAACACTGCTTGTAGCCCTAAATCTGATATGACCAATTTGTGAATGTAGGAAAACATGCTACACGTTCCAGAATTAAGCGTCTCAGCGTCTACGTGCCACAAGTGATGGCATATTTTGAAAAGAAGCTTAGAACAAAGTACAGGTAATCCTTGACTTATGACCATTCCTTTAGTGGACATTTAAAATGATGACAGTGCTGAAAAAATGACTTGCAATCGGTTCTCACAGTTAGGACCATTTCAATGTCCCCAGAACCATGAGATCAAGATTCATGTGCTTGACAACCAGCATGGATTATAGGGGTTGCAGCATTCTGGAGTAAATGTGATCACCATTTGAACCTTCATAGCTGGCTTAAATTTTAGATGACCTTTAGAAACAGACATACATCTTTCTTAGAGACTTAACCATGTACAGTACAGTACAATCCTTTTCGATAAACTTTATTCTTTGAGCACTTCCTCAGGAGAACAAATACAGTCTTTTGTACCCAAATACAGAGAGTCCTCGTTAAGTGACCCTAACTGGGACTGGCAACTTTGTTGTTAAGCAAAGTGGTCACCAAGTGAAACCACAACTGGGCTTATGATCTTATTTCAGTTTCTCTTTGCTTTACATACCTGCGAAGTTTGTAAATGCAAGGATTGGTTGAAAAGTTACTCTTTCATCACCATCATAATTAGGAACAGTCGCTAAATGAGGCAATCACTAAATGAGGACTGGCTGTAGTTATTATTATAATTCTGAATGAAAAAAAAACCCACAATTTTTTTATTTAGAAGTAATGAAAGGAGGCCCAGAAATAGTTTATTGACTCAAACCAATCAACCAGATTTAGTTCATACGTCCTTTTCATAATCCTGTTTACTTTGAAGTCATATTTGTCCAACACCTGATAAAAGATGTTGACACTTTTTTATGGGAAACCTATTTCCTAGATGTCTCTTTATTGCCTCTGTTTCATCCGCTAAGATGGACAGTCCAACAATTAATCCTTTAATTGTTAAAAGAGGAATGTCTTTAGCTTTTCTACTTTAAGTACTCTTGAAGTGGCCCTATTGTCCATCTGCACACATTTTCTCATTTACTTCTGTTTTTTTTCAAGATGACAACATTTCATAATTTATTTCTTTTCAATCACTAGGTCAGTCCCTTTGCATGTCTGTAAGAGACGTGAAAAGAAAAGGCATTACGAATGATGTCCCTTCAAATCAGTTGGTTCCTGTTGTATCTTGGGGTGGAAACATTTAGGTTTTTTACTAAGTACGTATAGTCAAGGCCATGGGTTTCCCAGTTGCAATGTATGGCTGTGAAAGTTGGACCATAAGAAAGGATGAGTGCCAAAGAATTGAGGCCTTTGAACTCTGGTGCTGGAGAAGACTCCTACGAGTCCCCTGGACTGCAAGGCGTTCAAACCGGTCAGTCCTAGAGGAGATCAACCCTGACTGCTCTTTAGAAGGCCAGATCCTGAAGTTGAAACTCAAGTACTTTGGCCACTTAATGAGAAGGAAGGACTCACTGGAGAAGAGCCTGATGCTGGGAAAGATCGAGGGCAATAGAAGAAGGGGACGACAGAGGATGAGGTGGCTGGATGGAGTTACTGAAGCAGTAGGCATGAGCTTAAATGGACTCCAGAAGATGGTAGAGGACAGGAAGGCCTGGAGGAACATTGTCCATGGGGTCGTGATGGGTCAGACACGACTTCGCAACTAACAACAACATGTATCTGGAATGCAGCATGTTTTAGTTCAATAAGGCAAGACTCACAGCGTGGTAATAGGCAGTTCTCAACTTATGACAGAATTGATCCTGGAATTACAGTTGTAATTCACGATGGTTGTTAAGTAGGTCGTCATCTAACTATGCCCACATTTATGACCTTTTTATGGCAGTCATTAAGTGAATACCACAGTCACTAAGCAAACACCGCATTGTTAAGCAAATGTAGAAAACATTAAGCGAACCCATTTTAGCCAATAGGACTTTTTGCTGGAAATTGGAAGTAAATGCCAGTTTTCCCCAAAAAATTGTGTTCATTTGACCGTGGGACATTGCAGACAGAGGTAAAATACAGGCTGATTGCCAAGCACCCAAAATGCAGCCACACAACCGTCTGTGGTGGTGATGGCTGTCAGAACTTTGAAACTACTTTATGGGGAAGCAATTGTAATTTTTAATGATCTCTAAGTCAGGGCTTTTCAACCAGTGGTACGGGTACCACCTGTGGTACATTGGCACCTGGTAGGTAGTACGCGACCATCCTAGAAAAGTGGTAGCGGGGGAGGGGAATGAGCTGAACCGGTGGCAGCACCACACAAGCCTGAGCGAGAGATGGCTGGAGCTGCAGGGCTGTCAGGGCTCAGTGGAAGCGCCAGGATCAGCGCTTCTTCGGGACTGTCAGGGCTCAGCGGAAACGCCAGGATCAGTATCAGGCTCCAGCTGGAGCTCGGCAGCTGATCCTGGCTCTTCTGCTGAGCCCAGAAGCACCGATCAGCTGGAATGTTGCAGCATCTCCAGGGTCTTGTGATTTACATTCAGATTCTTGGCAACTGATTCATATTTATGACAGTCACAGTGTCCCAGGGTCATGTGAAGTGACCAAAACCTGCTGCAACCACCCAGCAGATGGGGGGAATAAAAACCAAACACTCCCCACCCCACCCCCGCTGCCAATCCTCAACAGAAATGCTCACAACAATGAAAACCTTGGACAGGAGGAAGAGCGCCACCGGGTGGGTAGGCAGGTGTCTTGCTCGGCTGTGGCTTGGGGGGCACTTTTTTCAGTGCCATTGTAACTTCGAAAGTCACTAAGCGAATTGTTGTAAGTCGAGGACTACCTGTACTTTATCACTTTTTTCCTTTTTTTTTTTTTTTTTTGGTCATCAAGTTTTTGATACCTTGCTAGGCGAGTGGTGGTACTAAGATATTGTCATATCCTAAAAGTGGTACAATGGGCGAAAAGGTTGAAAAGCCCTGCTCTAAGTGACTGATAGTAGATTGAGAACTATCTGTAGTTTCCTGGTATCCTCCATGCCTTGCTAGTTCCTGGTAGTCTGGATGCCTTCTTCCTTTGATGGCTCTTTTGGAACAAAACTCTTTAGCTCCAGTTCAACACAAGCCAATAAAACAAAGCTACTAAAATACGTTTTCAGCTTCATTCGTATGACCACTTGCTCTCCCCTTTGCCCCCACCTCCCACAAGATTTAGAAGAATTACAGGTAGTCCTTGACTTGCAACAGTTCATTTAGTGATGGTTCAAAGTTACACTGGCACTGAAAAATGTGACTTATGGCCATTTTTCACAGTTACGACCTTTGCAGCATCCCCACGATCATGTGTTCAAAATTCAAATGCTTGGCCACTGGCTCGTACTTATGACTGTTGTTGTTCCCGAAGGTCATGTGATCACCTTTTGTTACTTTCTCACAAGCAAAAGTCAACAGGGAAGCCAGGTTCACTTAATGACAATGTTACTAACTTATCAACTGGAGTGATTCATTTAACAACCATGGCAAGAAATGTGTCATAAAATGGGGCAAAGCTCACTTAATGTCTCAACAACATAAATTTTGGGCTGAGTTGTGGTTGTAAGTTGAGGACGACCTGTACTAATTTATTATCTCTGGTCTTGTGGTTATTATTTTTTTGTCATGAACGAAAATTATCCTTAGTTTTGCCAGACCGAGACAGCAGCGGCGGTGAACGTCTCCGGAACGGATTCACCCAGATTTTCTAGAATATCCTTCCAGTGTTAGTTAAAACCCATACTATCTGTCAACCACTTGGTGTCATACTGGTAAAGCATACTGCCTTCACTTTTGACCTGCCATTATTAGATCTTTGCTTTCTCAAAAAGTTGTGGTTCCTCTTTGGTCTCCTTTAAAAAGGTGATTTTAATCTTCTATTACAAATTTGGCAAACTAGTCCTTTCCTGGGTTGATTTTAAACAACTGGCCTTTGCCAGGAAAAGGAACGATAAAATACTTGTTTAAAACGTCTGTTGCTGCTGCTGTTAAAAACTGTTTGTTCTGTTTGTTTGATCTGCAAGATCTGTTCTTAACAGGACAATTAACAATATTACTTTTGACATTAAAGGCCAAGAGAGTTTAGCTACAGATCTTTTGAAGGAGTTTCTTGCATAAAACAAATTAACTAGAGTAAAGAAGAATATTTGTAGCTCAAGGTTGAAATGAGGGGTCCTTGGCCTAGTTGTTGTTGCCTAGTTTGGGTAATGAAACGTCTCCAAAAAACAACCAAGTTCAGAATTAACTAGAGCAGTGATGGCGAACTTTTTAGAGACCGAGTACCCAAATTGCAACCCAAAACCTATTTATGTATCGTCGGGTGCCGAGTGGGCATGGCCCATTGGGTGGGTGTGGCCCATTGGGTGAGTGTGGCCCATTGGGTGGGTGTGGCTTCGGTGGGACTGGGGTGGGACTAAAAAGTTCAAACAATCAATTCCAACTTTGTGAGATCTTTTTTTTTCCCCCGCGAGAAGTTGAAATTGATTGATTGATCCTGACCGGTTCTAGGTTGACTCAGCCTTCCATCTTTCCTTGGTGGGTAAAATGAGGACCCAGATTGTTGGAGGGGGGGCAATATGCTGATTCTTTACAGAGAGGGCTGTAAAGCACTGTGAAGCGGTATATAAGTCCATGTGCTATTATTGCTATTGCTATAAGGTGTCTCGGGGGGGGGGCAAGTGTCAGAAAAGTCAAGATGGTGGATTCAATGGTGTGATCAAAGCTTACTTCCCTCTTCTAGCAAATAAAAAAGTTTGGCTGCCATCTTGATGTTTTTAAATCCACACAAATGCCCATTTTTAATGGCA